TAGTGTTTAATCACCTGAATATAGGAATCGTTTCCTGTTTTTGTTACCTTAGAATGAGCTGTTTTTATCTACAGACACTATTGGTTCACCTTGTGTAATCACCATGTTTCTACTGTATTTTGTGAGTTTTGCAAGCACTTTAGTTTCTCCTACACACTTCACAACCCGTTCTCATTCTCAGATCATCAAATACAGACGCGAGCAGTGTTCAATTAGTTGCAATCGGATTTAGTGATGAAGTTGTAGTTTGGTAATCATGTTTTGTTTTCTATTTCTACACTACAGAATATGTGAAGTGAAGGTGGAGAGGATTTTGAATTGTTAATCTTCTACCTTTTCTGTTGAGTAACTACCAAAGTAATGTTTTTAATGTGTAATATGTAATGAGTAATTGATTACATTTTTCTCTGTAGCCTGCCAAACACTGCTCTTCAGGAGGAGTACTACTACAGCCTGTGTAAATAAGTGTACATTGTCATCTGTAGCTATGTAGGGAGCTTTCCAAAGTTTGAAAAGATAACCGTGATGATGTATGATGAAATGCTATTGAGCTGCATTATGGGAAATGTAGGAATACTTTTTGAGTTACTGGAGACTAAAAGTCAGGATTTCTGGGCTTCTGCTGCTTTAGTCTTGACTGTTGTTTTTTAAATCTGTCTCTTGTGAGCCCCCGAAATGAATGGGAGTGCAACACTTAACCATTGCAGTGCCCCTTTAATGAGAGTAAATGCGACATAATGTAACTGCTGATTTTGTGAGGGGTTCAGGTTAGTGTAATGATTCTCTTCCACATCTCAGAGTGTTCAAGTAAAAATCCTTGCGAAATGTAAATCTAAACAAAATATAGATGAAGAGAAACAGGAAAACCAGCTCATCCCTATTTCCTGTCTAAGCGTGAAGCGGCACAAACCACAATCATAAAGCTATAGCTGGCAGACACTTAATAATGTCGATTTGCATTACAGTCACATCTACAGAAAACTAACACCTCTAAATGATCTGTGCATAGACTGCAGACTGTATTTAACATGTACTTCCTGAGCAAATGATCTCTGTTCCTACTCAAATGTCACTCATAAGGGACCTATTTTACCTGCGGTAGTTTTTATACCGTTAAACATCTAACATTAGTGCAGAAAATCCTTACTTCCCTAAATATTTTCTTCTTTGCCCTTCGTGATAGAAACACAGAGTGTGTGGGCTGAAATACAAACACAGTGAGCGAGTGAGCGAACGTTTAAAAGGACAATGCAAGAGCTCACTACCCAGAGTTAGAAAACCACTCATCTAAATCAGGGAAATTATGATAATGGGGCATCTCATTATTCTCCAGCTCACTCCGAATCAGTCACTGACATCACATCATTATAGACGTATTCATATAAACAGATTGGATGGCATAAAAAGAAGGCTGATACCCTCAAAACTTTCTCATCTGCTTTGTCTAATGTCTCCTCGCGTGTTTGTGTGTGAGGCAGGAAGCGCAGGTCTCAGGAAGGGGTTGCAGGGTGTTATGGTGGTCACCGTTCGGGACAGGGGGGCTGCATGGCCAAAAGTAGGTCCCCCAGATTCTTTGATTGTCCTGTGAAAATATCAGGATTTAAAGTCGGTAAATTATCAGTCATTTTGGATCAAGTAAAAATCTAAGAACCAAACAGTAATCATAGTGAAATAAATAAGACTGCTGCTTAAAAGATACCCACAGGCACTTGTGTAACGAGTGAGCTTTGGCAAGAAAAAATCCTGAGGAGGTCTGACCGTTGCAGCAGACAGTTAATCAATCCAAGTGCTTCGTCTTTTTTCTGTTTTGGGGAAAAAATATGGGAGGCCAGCCTAATCAGCAGAGGAAACAGATCTCATGGGGGGTGTCAGGCACCAGGAAAATGGATCTAGGTTGTGAAAAACCACGATTACCACGAGCTGCTCTGGATTCAGCCATCTGGAGATGCCTGCTCCAAAAGCCGGTAAAGTTCGCTCAACTGGGGCCCAACTAGGAAACAGGTTTGCACCTCCTTAACAGACAGCCAACCCTCCCAGAGAGGAGGGATGTTTGCACTCGCTCTACTCATTCGTGTAAACTGACATTATCACAGCTAAGCTGGCTGGTAAGTTCTTTTTTTTAAAGACATTCACTGAAATGAAATATTTACTTAATGCGCCACCTAAGAAAACCTGAAATCTGCTGTGAAATTTCCTCTATGTAAGAATGTTCTTTTGCCCTCAAATTAACCTTCTTGTCATTTTCTCCCCAGTTTTCCAAGACTTCCAATTTCCTTCCTGTCTGTCTTCAGGAATGACATCCACTATTTTTTTATTTTAATCTCTCTCTTAACATTTCCAATTACTGTAGTCTTTACCAGCTGACCATTAACTTGTATGTCACCAGCTCACTCATCCAAAAAAAATAAGATGCACATTTAGCTGATGCTTAAAGAGATGCCACTCAAACACATACAAGCACCGAAAAGAACGGAAAGATAAAAATTCCAAGTAAAATGCAAAAGAAAGAACATTATAATATATTATTTTATATAAATTATCCTCATTCTTTTGACACTGTATTCATTGCATGCATTACTAATCTTTCTCATATTATGCTCTTTTATTTATCTTTAAAGAAACAAACAAGAAAAGATTCCATGTATTTTTCTCTATATGATGGAATTGGTTTTGTTATTTGTGCCTTTGGTTAGAGCTGAATAAATGCCACTGTGCACCCTCATCCTTCTTCTCATGACTTGCAGCACAACGATTTAGGCTTAAAGATTTTTTTCTCGGCGAGGATAAATCGTGAATGAATGATCTCGTGCTAAATATCTGCCACCAGCGCGTTGTTCAGTCAACATTCAAAGCCTGCTGGTCTGATATCAGACATCTGCCTCTTGCAGTGATTGATAAAAATGACTATTTGGCTTCTTTTTACTTTTATAAAAGCAATTAATGTGCCTGTTAAATTAAATTCTGGCTTAAAAACATTTTAAATTATTCATTTACTGGGTAAAACCCACTATAGTCTTGGTATGAATTATAATTACTCTGAGTTGTATTTAATTTCCAAAGGGATGGCAGTAAAATATGAGCACATCTGTATGGTGAAGTCAGATCATAACCTGAGGCAGGATGTCAGTGGAGTGAGTTAGAACGCCCTCCAGTGGGCAGTCATGATCATTCTTGTGTAATAATTTATGATAATAATGCATATTGAGGATGTGAGTTCTGGTGGGAGAAATATCAAGTGAAATATAAAGAGAATAAAAAAAGAAGATGACAGATGTATTAACTAATTGCTAGAAATGACTGAAAAAGGGGCCTACTCAGTGACAAATTGCTAATTGTTTATTTTGCTGCCTTAATGGCTTCATAAAAGTTATTGTGAGGACTCACCCAGAGGAGTGTGCAGGGCTGCAGACAGCTGGGACAGAGGCTGTAGCATCAGCAGCAGAGTTAGCATACACAGCCCTGCCTGCATATCCAGGGATGGTGGTTCGGCTGGGACGAATCAGAACATTATTTAAAAGAATCTGTTACAGGAGGCTGAATATCACCATGAGAGAGGAATTTCAAAGGTAGCAGCAATGTCAGAATCTGCTTTAATAACCCAGAGTGGGAGAAAATAAATATGCAGAGTACATTTCATGGTGAATAAATAGAGCTCCTGAGATCCACAGCGAATGTATGAGTGTGTGTCTGACCGTGCTGTAGGCGTGTATGGGGGAATAATGCTCCTCTTCAGGGTCAGAGGCTGAAAGTCTTCATCCATATTGTCGATATTATCCATGTTCTCAGAGCCGATCGTACCGCTGCAAGTACATACGAACACACACACAAAGCAAGGTCAGCTCTAAGGTCTGATTCATGAACACATGCTAACATACATGTGAGACATTTGTGGCGACCTCTCAGACATTAAGTACTCACGTGTACTGAGGGATTTGACCTGACCGTGGACATCTACTGCAGCTGGAGACAGGAGAGAGAAGATTTAAAGCTGGTGATTATCATTAATGCTCTTAAAACAAAAGCCACTGGTTGTTGGAAACTTACAATGAAATGGGTTTCTTGGCATCATGCCTCGATCGAAGCTGCTGTCTGTTCCACTCAGCTCCAATAGACTTGGAAAGGACAGAAACAGCAGATTCTTAGCAGAATTTATCAGGTACCTTTATTAAGCCCCCCATACATCCTCTCACTTCACTACATAAACACACACACAGGTAGACATGAGACAGCATTCACATTGGTAATCTGTAGTCTGACCTGAACTTAAACATTGAACTCAATCACCTTTCAGGCAGAGCTGCATGCAGTGTTTATGATCAGTGTATTATTACTGCATTAATATACATATACAGGATATAGTATGTACGTATATATTCTAGATTCTCTACAATAGAAAGACAAAAACTAACAATGTGTTAGTCGGTCTCTCACCCCTTCCTCAGCCCATCGCTCTCAGCCACAAGCCCTTTGTTCCTATTGAAGATTTAAATCTTCTATTATGTGATTTTTAATTTCCTAAAACAACTTTTTTTTTTACCTCAAACGTAGGTAATTTGGCCATTTGTCTGTGGACTGTTTTCAGTTGCGGATTAATACACATTATGTCTACTAGTGAGCTGCAGGGTGATGTATGTGAGAATGACTACGGTGCCCTTTAGTGATCCCAATGTGAACACAGAACTCTGCTGCTACAGTGGCAGATATATATTGTTATGATTTTTCATTGACTCAAATGCCTTTATACCTAAAAGTGTGTTTTCTTGCACAAGGTACAGTGGGGGTAAAATTCATTATTTTTAACAGGCAAGCACTAAATGCACTGGTTTAGCTGAACATACCTATATTCAAAGTAATGTGAAAATAAACAATTTATACTATTTATATGCTATTTAGAATTAGCTATTTTTTATATCTAGTTGCAAAGAAACATTTATAGCTGCATTAACGGCCTACATGTCAGCGCATCTGTTATAATGTAATCAGTTAATGACAGAAATCAATAATAGCTTAATTTTATGCATGATCCATGATGATGTAGATTCAATTCATGGTAAAAAATAAATAAAAAATAGCATATTGTCAGTATTTTAGAGCCCCCTAAAATTTCACAAATTATGTTTTAAGGGGAGCTCATGTCTTATTAAGAGGAGCCAAGCCCCCTCTGACTCAACCGCAGTTCACACCGTGGTGCTCCGATAAATTCTGACCGCACACTGACCCAGCCAGCAGAGGAAAAGTTATAAAGTTATGAGAAAAGGAGGCTGAAATCCTGAAAAATAGAGGCATCCAAATGCTTCAAAATAATAAGTTAATGCATTCAGTGCTGCTGGGGACAGCAGAGATAGCAGCGCCTATGACAGTCAGACGAGAGGACCAGAACATCAGAGTAGATTCAGAACCACAGCTCACTGAGACAAGTAAAAACACCTGCCGAGGTTGTGCAGCTGAAGTGGCAGGCAGAAGACAACAGGGGTAAAATAATAAAGGTTTGTCTAGCAGGATGATGTTATACATCTCAGTTTTCAGATCTGATGACCTTTTTATTCCCACTTCACCTCTGATAAGATATCTAATATCTAATATATAAAAGACTATATCAGGCTTTGGCAATACATGAATATCATCAATACAATACTGGATACAATTAATTGTTGATTTGGTGTTTTCATGGGATTTGATGGCAATAAGAAGAAATTAAGTGTTATAACTAGGTTTTAAAACAAAAAACACATGTTGAACTCTGATCTGATTTCTGCATAAAATATACTTAACCGTATCTGTTAACACATCCCTGAACTCAAACCCCCCTTTTCTGAGTCTGAACGGTTCCCTCCCATCTTCCCGCCACCAGCTGACGCAGTCCATCTCCAAACTCTTCAACCCTTCACCCCTACTACGCTAACATTATCTTGGATCACCTTCATCCATTATATGCAGTAAACCATTCTAATTTCACATCCACAATGGCTCGGCCTCTGTTAGTGAATACGAGTATCACCAGACATATCTTTATCTGCCTCCTTCAGTCTCATTATGTGTGCCAGCATGTCAAAACTAATGACAAATGTGCTGCATTAGGGACATAATGGGGACATAATGGGAGCATTGTTGTTCAACAGAAACAGTACAGACTACACTGCAACTCGCAGCATTTCTGAACAAGGTGGAGTAAGACAAAGTAATGCAGAAAAATGACCTCTGACACATTTATCCCTTTCACTAAAACCAGATATAAACCAAACACACTGTACGTGGGTTGGAAGGGAAAGTGTTTTCCATTTTCATTTTTATTTTTTACAGTAATTACACTCAGGTAACCCAATTAGATTGTTTTTTTCTTAATAGTAAATTACTCCCTTGAAAACGGCCCCTGATTAATTACTTCAGCACAGCGATTCTATTTCCTTCAGTCAGTTGTGGGTTGTGGGAACCTTTAGAAGCTGGAGAAAGAGAAAGCCACTAAGCTCCAGTCATGGCAGTGTTTGTCGCTGTTTGTTCCTTAAGGCTCACCTGCCACAGCTGAGGTCGGCCAGCGTAGCGCCTGGATGAGGGACGCTCACTCACTGGGTCTGCCTTTGTCTCCAGGCTCGTTTCTGGTGCCTTCAAGCGCCGGGGTAACTTTGTATCCCAGCTAACTTCCTCATAACTCCTGCACACAGACGGGAAATTGCAGCCATTATACGTCAGTACCAAGTGCCTTGAATGTAATTGATTAACTTGATTCCCAAAAGTTATTTGCTTTAATTTGAATTCTTAAACAGCCCCCCCTCCCTCCCTTCGCTGCATGGAGTATACTAGACAGCTTATTAACTGGGGAGCTAATTCTTCCCTGAGGCTTTAAGCAAGGCTGCAGTTCATCTACATCATTTCATTGAGCAGCAATTAACACAACAAGAGGACACACTGTTCCCCGATGACATCACTGGGGCACAAAATCAAACCCAGTCGCTCTCAATAACCCTTCAAAGCAAAGTGTGTGTGGACTGTACATAATGCATTGTGTGGGAGGTGAGCTTTGTTGTGCTTTTCTATTATTGAAATGAGACAAAGCTCACTGTCTGTTTACCTTTGTGTTGCAGAGGTGTATCTGAAGCGTTGAACTGCAGGTGAGTTGTCCGTCCACAGTCTCAGATCAGAAGAGAAGCCATCCTTAAAAACAATATTCAGAGATTTATCATTATTTATTGTATTGTCAGTGGTTTTATTTTGTTGAAAAGGCAGAAACTGCTAAAAGAAATGTATGAAAGACGCTGAATGGTCATTAATTCTTGGTCATTACCATTCTTCCTTTCTTTCTTTCTTTATACACTTAACGATGATGTATCTTCAGTATGTGTGTATTCATATGTGTATTATTTTTACACTTAAAGTCTTATTATTAGTTTCTAATACATTCTTTATTCTAAAATGTGATCCCCATTAGGCTCCATGAAGTGGTTGCAAGTCGTCCTCGGGTCCACAAAAAAACAATAAAGAAAATGGTGTGTCAATAAGACAGGAAAATGCAAAACAAGCTAAATATAAAGCTCATAAACTAAGTAAAATGATTCTACATATGAATGGAAGCAACAACAAAATAAAATCTATGTGAGATTCATCAACTAAGTGACTTTTTGATTTATCTGATGTTGGTGAGGAGCATATTATAAGCAGACAAAGCTTTATACAGAACAGTTCTCATCATACAACTTGTTCATATTACCAGAAGACTAGTACTCACAGGATGTGTTATACAAGAACCAGGGTATACTAATTTTTCCCAAAAGAAGAAGAAGCATGGTGTGTTATTCCAGATGGCACTTGAATTTAATTTAGCTTCCAAGATAATCGTTTATGCACATGAACGGTATGCCTCTAACACCAGCCTAATGAGCTTAAATGATCTCTGATACTTGTAAGTCTGTAATGTCTCCAAATCTGATGCCAGTCTGCACAAATTCACCTCAGTTAAAACCCTTGCAATAACTGTAGATGGATAATAGGATCAAGAAAATTACAAAAATGCTTAAAGTGACGATGCTAATATGCAGATGTTTAGCAGGTATAATGTTTACCGTGTTCCCCATCTTAGTTTAGTTTAGCATGTTAACATTTGCTAATAGGCCTTTTTCACATCAGCTACTTTGACATGAAACAGTAGGGTAAACACAGGTGTTACCAGTGATAACTGAGTTATACATCCAAGTCAGGCTGCTACTATTGTGCATGTTGGCTCAATGGAAACAGGTATATTCACAGATATATTAACACTAAACACAAAAGTACATTTTTGACCTGAAGATGGTGCAAAATGAAAACTGAGGACCACCAAAGTCATTACTATTGGAGGGGGAATGAATGTGAACCAGTTGTTGAGATATTTCCCTAAAAGGCAACACTGAACAATCGCTGAATTAGGATTAATCCTCAGGGAACCATGAATATCTGTACCAGGTTTAATGTAATCAGATATTTTAGTCTGGACCAAAGTGGTGGACTGACTGACTCAAAGCACAAAATGTCAGGAGGTTTTGTCTAAATAACTAATGCAAAACAAAAGTAAAGACAAACATCCAGATATAATCTCTTGTGTGAATCTGAATGAGCCAATTAAACAGTTTTGATGTTTTTAACATTAACGGGCAGCATTATATTCACCAATCTCCTCCCACGTCTCAAACTACACAAATACAGCCACCAATCAAGCCTCCATTCACTGGAGAACACTTACAACTCTTCACATCAACTGTAAAGCTTCTCATCAACCACAATAATGTGTGTGGAGGTAATAATGATTACTTCAATTAGCAGACTCAGAAACTAAATAATAGTAATAATAATAATACAGCATGATTATGTTTCTGTGAACACCTGCCCACATAACAGTAATGTGATGCCTCAACATGTGTGGTGAGACCCAAGGGAGGCCGTGTGTTTATGGATTATTCTTTCATATTTAATTTGTGTTTATGTTATGATTTACACCAGTGATCTAATAAAATGTAATAACTACTTCGTCTGACTAAGCCGGCATTAGTCCAACCAAATGTTTGCCGTGTCTACACTGCAGTAAATTGAATGCATAAATCAACAAGTGTTTATGTGCTCAGAGAATTAAACAGGAAAAATGAAGGAAAATTAAAACAAAACTTTATATCAATCCCTCTGCATATGGAATATGAATACTAATAAGTGAATAAGTGCTTGTTTAGTGGAAAACTAATTCAGTCGTCACCCACCTGAGGTCCAGTGTGTTTATCAGGGAAACTGCTGTGTGAAGTTGCTTTAGTTGACGTCCTCAGAGGATGTGGTTGAACTTTAACTGGACTGCTTGAACCTTAGGATGACACAGCGCGGGCGGATTGTGAATTGCACAATAGCAACTGCTCTCAAGGCCAGACTACCCCATGAGGGGGCCCTGAGGCACAAATCAGGTAGAGAGTACACAGCAGACTATAAATGGCAGCTTAATAATTCAGTGTTTTAGAGACGGCGAGATGCAGACACCAACTAGCACTACTGTTTTTGATACTAGCTGCCCTGAGTTTGTTCTCTGTCTGTTTATGATAATTTGATTAAATGGAAATGTATGCAACATGTAAGCACAACTAAAAGAGTGAATATGTGTCCTTGCAATGAGTTTAATAGCTAAAGAGTAAGCAAATAAGTGCTCCAATAAACACAAGGCCAAACATTTAGTGGACATTTAATAAGTGTCACATATGTAAATGAAATACAAGCCAACAGGAAGCAGATTAAAACCAACATATATGTCTATACTGTGTATCTGAGGCTACAACATTCAGAAACAGGAAGTCACATGGCTACCAGGTTTAGCTAACTACCAGCTAACAGCTGGTAGCTCAATTTGAGACACAACGAAACACAACGACCATATTCTGCTTACACTATCTAATATTTAACAAAACAAAATACTTTTTTTTTACACTAACAAAACAGTGCCCAAGGTAAGTAAGAAGAAGCCTCCTGCAGCCTGCGCTCTCTCCCATGTCTCTTAGAAAGTGGGCCTGCAATAATACTGCTGCTGTGCAATGACCAGGAGGGAGCACTGCAATAGCCTAAGTCTTATTTAACACTATTAAATGCACTCAGAGAGCAGAACAGTAAAGGTTATAAAACTAGATTATGACACAAGGCCTCACTGACAGGAGCCACCTTAAGGCCGTTAATAAGGCAGCAACTAACGACTTTACTCATAATTGAACTTTAATTGTTTCAAAATGTCAAAAATAACTGAAACACTGAACATCTTGTTTTTGCTGATCTCCTGCAAACGTCTGACCACACCCAACCACAATCAGCAGTGGCGCTGTAGGTGATTGTTTCCTGGGTGCATATCAGGCAGGGGTGATTGCCCTTTGGGATCAAAGTGATCAATTAAGACAACATTGACTAATCTGCCAATTTTAATGATCTATTGTACATGCAGGCTAAAAAGATACATTCTCAACCAGAAGTGTTGTTGGTTGATAGACAGACTTTAAATGTGACCTGTCTTCTTTGTTGACAGTAAACTAAATGGAAATTATGTAAATCACACACAGCAGTGGTGCTGGGTGATTGCCCTTTGGGGTCAAAGTGATCGACTGAGACAATATTAATTAATCTAGCTGTTAGTTTCTTGATTAATCTATTAATTGTTTGGCAGATAAAATGTCCAGAGATAGTGAATAAAACGCCTTTCGAGAGCTCAAGGTGACCTGATCAGACAACAGTCCAGATCTCGAAGATATTCAGTTTAAACTCTCATAAAAGACAAATGAAAGCTGGGAATCTTCAGACCTGACTGTTGGAAAAAATACTCACATTAAATAGTTGCAGATTAATTTTATGTCAATCAACTAATCAGTTAATTGACTAATTAAATCAGCTCTTGTCTAGTTGCAGTTTATTTTGTGCAGTTGCCCCACAGCTTAACCAGCGTTGACTTCTCTTCAGTAGATATCCTGCCCCACATCATGACTTTGACCTGCACAGCACCCGATATAAATCATGATAGGCAACAAATATGAGTATTAATATCAACAGTGTTATTTGGAGCAAAGGTAAACATTATTTTACCACTGAGTCTTGCTCTTAAGACTGCATCTGGGATCCTCCTGGAGTTCCAGGCCTTGTCTTCTCTCCAATCTATACAGATGCCAGCAGGGTTTGAGACTGTTTGCGGCCTCTCTCTGAAACCTGGAGGGACCCGCAGAGCAGAGGCCACATGATGGAAATCTATGAATTTCTGCCGACCTTTGACCCCCAGGTCCACCTCTGCTCCGGCGCTGAGCTGACCGCAGCAAGGATCCAGCAAGGGGACGTCGTCTCGTAAGGGAGCCAGGGCGACGTGCTCAGCATGGGGGTTAAATCTAGCGTAAGGAGAGTTTGCACGTCCAGTTTCCAGTCCATCCCTGCCACCAGCCCCATAGAGACTGGAGTTCAACCGTCTGATGACTTGTAGCTCTGCAGAGAACGGCCTGGAGGGATCCAAAACTGCAGTCATTATTACCAGGGGAGAAGCTCTACTGAGTGTGTGTTCCTATGTGTGTGTACGGTTGGCAGAGCAGGTCATAGATCTGATGTCAGCTATAATGATGCAGTGAGAGATGGTTGCCCAGAGACTGCCTTTGTTTGCTGCTCGGATCAAATTACCGACACGCAGGGAGGCAGCATGACCTGCGGGCTGTGGAGGTGTGTAGCTCCGCATACCTTTATGTGTGAACATTTATTCTGTATGGAGAACAGACGTATAATAAACACCCCCTGTATCTATTTTGGATGCCACACACCAATAATTCACCTCAGGGGAGCATTCACAGGCAATAATGTGTCCTCTGAGCTGCTATATTTTGGCAACTTACAACTACTAATTTATCACTCTGACCAAATAAAAATATTTTGTCAGTCGTCAGGGGCAGCCACTGCCCCTGGAAAATGACTCCAGACAGAAGTGTTTTGGTGGCAAATAATAATGAGAAGACTCGGCCCGCCTCAGGGTTTAGACAACTGACCCTCCCGAGTGCTACATTACTTCTTGTGATGGGTTAGGAATTGTTTTGTTTTTTTCTTTACAAAAAGGCAGTTTTCTCCTTCATAGAAGATAGTAGTTGTCCGCTTTTCCTCCAAGTGTCCACTAGATGGAGTAAAAGAGCCTGTATTGTCAGATTATAACACCAGAAACAGGCCTGTGTATGCTGCACTGTCCCTTAATGACAGACCACAAATATCACAGCAAAAAAATCCCAGTTGTAATATTATGATGATAAATTATGACATTAAAAATACCATTATAGTACAACAAGGTGACCATAAACCCAATACTGAATACCTCAGACACACTTTTAAGTCCCCGAAGAAATATTAAAATGATTTTCCTTTGTGTATGCAGGCTAAATAAGGTATAATTCTCAGCCAGAAGTGCTGTCAGTTGACAGTGAAACTTCAAATGTACACTGTGTTTTTAAAGTTGACGGTAAACTAAATGAAAATTATGTAAATCGCATGGATGTAGAAAGTGTTTTTACAAAGGGTGTAATCTGGTGAATGCTCTGGCTTGAAAGAGCTGTCTTATATTCGCTGGAGCAAAAAAACACCAAATACTATGTGCCTCTGTGCCTATTAATTAGTTTGCTCTGGTGTTCTGATGTGCAAATGCATATGCCACATAAATATATGGACACACATGCTGAAGCGACATGCACGCTTTATACAAATTGTGAAAGCACTCTTGCTAGGTGGCCTTTTTTTCTTGGGAGAGGATCCATGTTAATGTGTCAGTGGCATGATGGTGATGCTTGCTGATAGATGATTTTTACTCAGGCCGTCATTAGCAAATGTAAACACCCAAGAGCTGTTGGAAAGGATGTGTTAAAAATAGTCTAATTAAAGTTATTCTGATAACTGAGTGGTGAACATGCCCAACTCCCACACAATGTTCCTCTACAAAAGGAGAGCATAAAATGACACTTGTGAGATCTAATGTGGGCTCCTTTTGAAATCAGTCTCCAGATAGAAAACATACCAGTTGTTGCATCAGTCTTTTGTCTCATGAGTGCTGTGCTGATTGTATATTCATAGATTTATAATGAGGTTATATAGGTCCAGAGGTCCACATGATTTATTGCATTTGGAGTCCATTAATTATTCCTATATCAGAAATTCCTCCGTACTCCACATTATATTCCCCTAATGTTTTGTATCCCAATTATTTCACGGGGTTTTTTTTGTTGTTGCAGGAATTTAAATACCAACCTCAGCCTGAAATTACTGTATTTTTCGCAGGGAATCAGATATTTCTGGAGTGAAGAGTCATTACCATCGGAGCAGCCCTTGTTACTGAATCCCGTGTTATTAGTCAGCTTGTCTGCCATTCTCTAGACTCCTCCACAGTCTCAGAAATTATTTAAATCTCACATTTTGCCCATGGTGCTGGGCCCAATGCTACAATGCAGCAGCCATTAATTTGCAGGCTGCATTCATCTGAGGGAAACTGTTGCTCTGGATTAAGAGACATTGTTGTTGCTGCTCCTGCTGCTGCTGCGGCTGCAGAGGGTCATCAAAACAAAGTCACAATTGTAGTGTTGTGGATGAAGACAATATGGGCTGATGCTGCTCTGGGCAGGGCATTATTTTTGTTAATCAGACAACAGGGCTGAGGGTGACCCAGGATGACACCTCAGGAGCAGACAGGCAGGGCTGGAAGAGATATGGCCACCGGGTGCAGGGAATGGATCATCCAAGAGGGGAGAGGGTGCTCCAAAATATAGACAGACAGCATCCTTCATCACTGACTGTGCTGGGGAATCAGCGCTTCAAGAAATTAAACAGATAAATGGGAACAGATGACTGACAGATATTAATGTTCAGTGATATTTCTAAAGCTGTGATGCATTAGGCACCTGCGGATACCTGTGCGGCTATATTTCATGAAAGTCCCAGTTGTTTCTTTGTATGCATGATATACAATGCAGTTCACACAAAGAGCCCGTCTGATGCTTAATGCATCCACTTTTTGGATTATGTCTGTGTGTCTTGTAAACTGATGAAAATGCATGACCATATTTATAGCATCAGGGCCCTAAGTCATAGCTCATGGGTCATATTCATCACCCTGTAAAGGCAGTAAATTGATTACCGCCCGATGACCATGCATGCATTAGATTAGAGGGCAAATTGGCTGAAGTGAACTCTGTCTCGTGCTGTGTGCAGCACCCTCAACCATTTGGAAAAATCCAAACAGAGTGCAGAGATGAAGCTCCCATGAGCGGCGGGGGTAGCCATGTCCTCAGAGAGTGGCCGAAGGCTTTATTGTAGTGCTGCTTCCCTGCCCCCGGTTGCTGCAGCTCTCCGCTTGTCACACTCAGTTAACTCAATGAAGTAATGAATATGCCGCTGTACATTTTTCATGAGGGTGGTGGGAGTGAAAAATCTGCTCTTTGTAATGCTTTTAATATGGAAGTTTTCACACACACTCTTCCCCTGCAAAGCACCCTCTGGGCTATCATGATGCTGCATGAGCATGATGTTTAATGTTAACATCCCCCAGAGGAGAGGCAGCATAATGCAATGTCACTTTCAGTGATGAATATGTTGACTACAGAAGATGCACAAGCAGCTGTAAATCAGGAGTAAGTTAAGATAACAGTGCCTGTCCTCCTTGTAAAGAAGACAGGGGCCGTGCAGGAAATAACTGGTGGGCAAAACTCTTACTGTACTGTGAGTCACGTATTCAGGTCTCACATCATTACAGTAATTAATTAGTTTACAAGGAAGCACACCCACGAACTTCCAGAACTGGAGGACTATTAAGTATGAAAGGGGGTAATTGGCCAAAGATAAATGCAAATGAACACAAGTGCTGCTCAAAAAGAATCAAAAACAAATGACAAAGGTATGCCATATGTGTAACTCTTTTAAAAGAGCTATTTTAAACCATTTAACGACAGTAATTTAGTAAACAGTAAAATACTCAAAACAGAACAGAACTTCTGCCCAGCTGGTGTTTTTAGATCACTGATTCCTGGGCATATGTGGAAAGGTTGCGGAGTCATTCAACTAATTAAGGAAAACTTTTATTTTTAATTTTAGGAATTAATTTGGGAGGAAAATAAAACATACAATCAGGATTACAAATTGGTCTGACGCTAATCTTTAGTAGATTTATTGTTACAGTAACCTGTAAACTACCAGCTGCCACAGTCTGACTGCAGAGTACACACCTCACACCAACCTGAGTCAGCTGGAAGGTTTTATCCAAGAAAAGTAGTGAGGAGATAAGTTAATTTGGTTAAACTAAAAGTAATGGATAAGTAGCTAAAAATGAATGAATAAACTGTTGAAATAATTAGCTGCAATTAATAGATAAACAATTAAATTATATGGCTAAAAGAAATGCATATACAGTTGAAATAATTAGCTTAAACTCATGGGTGAACAGTAAAAATAATTAGACCAAAAATAGACCATTCAGTTTTATGAAAAAAAAAATTTAATATTCACTTTTATGTAGTGTTACTTAACATCCACTTTAAAACCATGAAGGGTGGTGAAGGGGCTCTTGAGCTAATCTAGGGATGCGAGGGGTATGCCTGACAGAAAATGTAATCACTGTTTCAGATCATTTCTACCTTTGTGGATATTTCTGGCTCTGTCTCAAGGTGTCTAAAGGTGGCATACAGGACACCACTCCACGTTTGTGCTTTTGATCTGCGCACAACAACACACCTCTGATTTTCAATTACGAATAAGACGTTGCATTAGTCAAAGAAACACTGAGGGTAATGGAGTTTCTCTGTTGCTCAGAAAGATGGACTTGTCCCTAGAGACCTTGGTTTCCATTATTAAACCTCCACCACATTGCCCACCTAGGCTGTTTCCGTTCCCTCTGACCAGAGTGAAATTACCTGCTTTTGAAGCTTAAGCATAGTAAAGAAGCCACAGAGTGGTAGCCCACAATCTGAACCTCCATTTCCTTTCTGCCAAGAAGAGCTTTTTATGTTCTTTTGGAGGACAAAAAAAGGGGGGAAAAAACAAATTCTGCAGGGTGGATTTCACTGAGGTCTGATAGTTCTTATAGTTTTCATACACAAAATATCCCAAGGGAATGTGCAGCAGCATGTGAGCCAGTGGCTAATACATTCACTGGGCACTTTCACAGTATCCATCAGGACCTGGATGATGAATTACCATACAAGGGCCATAGAAAATAAAAAAAGAATACCCTAGGATAAATGTTGTGTTGCAAATACAAACACTTAGTATTCCACAGGGCTGACACAAAAGCTGTTCCCTTTATGATAACCCAACAATCCACAATACTATCTCCAGTCTGACAGCAACTTATGCAGATGTGCACGGCTCAGCAGTGTTCTGCTGAATTGAGCCCCCCTACCCCCCTTGAAAAGTGTTCAGCAAGCAGGTCACATTGGCGTGGGCTGTCTGTTTTGGATGAAATGCTGAAATGCTGTCCTCCAAGATGCTCTAAGCCTTATCACTCACCTACCC